CTCTCTCTCTCTCTCTCTCTCTCTCTCTCTCTCTCTCTCTCAAGTGACGTATATTTTTATGAAAGTCGTATTTTAATTGCATTTTTCTCTCAGCATATGAAATAGAAAATAACAAGTAAATACGAAAAGCATTTTTATTAGTACGAAGTGTGCAAACAGATCGCATAACAAAGAAAGTATCATTTATTGATCGAAACGATAAATTATTATGTGAGCTCTGCGCAAATCAGATTATCGTAAAGATACTCATCTTGATATATTATTAAGATATTCACTCATGTCACGAGTTATTTATGAAGTGCGATTATTCATTTTATCTATATAATTTCTCTAATTAATGTTTTTATTGTATATCTTTTATAGATATACATATGTAATCATTATCAATACTTGACTTATTAAGTCATTTTTATTAGTGAAAGCCCTTGCCATACACGAACTTCAATGTACGTATCAAGAAATGTCTTTAAAATTTCCTATAAATAATGTATATTAATTAATATAATAAAACATAATATATGTATAATAGATTTAGATAAAAAAGAAATACATGAGCATGCGCCGAAACTTGTTGTTATTAACAACATTTTTTTTAACATTTTTACAAATTTACAAGAGTGACCAATATAATCCGTCACTGTTTACTTGCCATTTTATAAATATTTTACTCTATCTCTTCGGCCAATATTATTCAATTATTAGTAATTCATGAATTCTAACGAGATCTGATTGCACCGCAAGTTCGTGACACTTTTTTTGATAAGAAAAAAAATCGACGATTACACATATACGTTATCGTAAATCAATTATTAACGGTAAGATTATATATTGTATCATCTTAAGCGGCATGCGTGTTACATTGTCAATATTTATAGCGTTATATCACGATCATCATTCGTCTTCTTAAATTCCTATTCTCTTCTACTCTCTATTAATACAAACATATTCAAAATCAGCTCCGTTTATTTTTTGTTCTTCAGGTAACGTTATGTTCTTGATGAAGTTCTATGATATTATTTTGTACGATTTTTGTAATAAATTCAACGCAATATGTTCGCTAAGTAAAAATTCGTTGTGAACATATGATACAACGATGCAAAGCTGCTTTATAATCGAGCGAAACATTTTCTGATTATTGTCACTATTTCGACCTTTTATAATATTTTATCACTATCTTTCTCTTCGAAGACACTGATGACATTCTGTAGTTAATAGCACTGTATATAAAAAAATGATCATGTGTGTGTATATACAATTATACAAGTATCTGTGTGTACTTAGACTTAAATTATAAACCGTAACCGAATTTAGGAATCAGCGCAGCGAAAACGGATTTGTTTCGCATCGGGATCTACGATTGATATCGATGATCATAATCGCGGATCGATCAATCCGAAATTGCCTAACGCCACTTAAAGCACGTACGTTCAATTTATTGGGAAACGACGATAACTTTTGCTTAATATCTAGTCATTAGATCGTTAGTTTGACCTGAATTTGTGTCATTAAAATAGTGGACCAATATTTAACAATTTTTTAAATTAAAATTATTTATATGAGAATTTTTTCTCTTCACTTGAGACTTCGAACTTCATCAGAATGCATGTTACATCAATGTGCTATTAGTTTCTGCAGCTTTTTTCTATTGCATAATATTTTAAAGAAGCTATTATTTAAATATCTTGGAAAATATATTTTAACGTTTTATAATTTTATTATATATTTTGTATTTATTACGATATATTTTCTAGCGATACAGATTCGGGTCATTTTACGCCTAAATTAAGCATATTCAAGTTAGATTTAACATTAATTTTATGCTAAGCGTGTGAATTTTTGATCAACATTCCCTTAAGTGATATAAGATCGTAATTGCACTATACAATAATTAGGATATCTCCTTTACAGAATTCTGTGAGGAATTCACACTTCTTGTGTGTTATTTTATAACAAATACAATTAATGTATGTAATATTTTCTAATTATTTTTTTTTTGCATACGTACTGAAAAATATCATGGCAAATTTCAAACGGTAAATCTTATGTATGTGAGATTGTCATTTAATATTTAATTTTTTTCTAAAAAAAACAATCATATATCTAGTATGATTTGTAAACTTTTTATTCGGAAACATTTGTAAACAAGACAAAATTGATATTACGTATGTTATGATGTAAACATACAAATGTTTACAAATGTGTAACATACATTAAAATATGAAAATTGGATTTTAGTTCTACAAAGATTGCACCGAAAATGATGATTATATCGATCGTTACTATAAATAACAATAGCAACGAGCATGTAAACTGTCTACCTTGAATTTTATTAGCATTGTCGTATTGAAGATGGATTATGAAAATGGATTTTAAAGTAAAAAGCTGAAACAAACTTTTACCGCTCTAAAGTATCTTTAACTATAGCTAGAATCTTGGCAAAATATGTTGATCTAGTTAGAGATTTCGCAGGAAACTAAAGAAATATTCAATGTATATAAAATTATTCAATGTATGTCTTTTCTACTTGTAATTGCTTAGATTTTTGCAAATCAGCAATCATAACTTTCGGTACAATCTTCGTGTTAAATATAACAATCTTTTCAAATTTTATATTAAATTGACATTTTGTTCTCTGATGTCATATTTTATATGATGATTATAATGTTCTTATTAACGCATTGTTTTTATGTTTACATGCCTTTTCACAGAAAATCAATGCTGCAAGAAGTATTTAATAAGCGGATAAGTTATTGTTTAGCTACTCTGATGATATCAATAGCAATAATGTATTATTATATATAGTTTACATTGGAAATACCATTTTTTCATGACCATTTTCGTTCAATGTGTATAAATGTCATTTGTTGAATTGTCATTTTGAATTGAATCGGATCAAGTATATTGAGACTATTGTGTGTGCTCGTGTGTGTACGTGCATGTGCGTGTGTGTGTGTGTGTGTGTGTGTGTGTGTGTGTGTGTGTGTGTATGTACATAAAATAGGTTCAATTATATAAAAGCCACAGAAAATCAGCAATTACTGTAGAAACGAAGATGTCTTACAAAATAAACTGCAAATTAACAAAATTACTTTGACTGTTTTATTATTATTATTATTTCTGTATTTTATGACTGATATTTACGTTTTCTTTTGAAAGTATATCAAAGTGCCCGTAAATACCAGGATAAATTAACAAAAAAATGAAAAAAATGGCCATGTATCATAATATGACAAAATAAGTATCTTATTTACAGATAGAGTATCATTTACAATTATTGTTAATACGGTTAATATGGTTCATTTAAAATTAATTTTGAAAAAATTGACATTTTATGAGAGACATAATTAACTTTTTCTAAAAGAAATAATAAGATGTTTATGCGTGCGTGATTGCAAATTTTATAATTTCGACGTTTTATCTACCTACTAGTGATTCCCTAATTTTTTTATCAATCCAGCGACGATAATATGCTACACGAACGTAAACTCCAGGTCTGTTTGCTTTGCCGCAATGCTGACCCCAACTAGTTATCCCGTACAAATTGAAAGCTCCTATTATAAAAAAGAATATGAATTTTATTATAATAATACTATTATTGCAAGTACTAATTGAACATAACAAAATGCAATATTTTTTATTTTAAGATGGAATTCATAAACTTTAATTTTTGAATAAAAAATGATAAATAGTTGTACTGTTTTTTAGATATAAAAAATTTATATATTAATATTTTCTGAACTTTACTCTATTACCTGCTCCTATATTACATAAATGTTCTTTTATAATTTTGATTGCATTCTTTATTATTTTAAAAAATTCTATTATTACATAACCCGTTATTGTACGATTCTTTTACTAATTTCAGTAATTATAATTAATCTATTAATTATTTCAACATTACCATTGTAATAACATGCTAAAGGACCTCCGGAATCGCCATCACATGTGTCGATACCTTCATCAAGATATCCAGCACACATCATTCCATCACTTATGGCACCTTCACCATAAACATAACTAGCTCGGCAAATTGACTGATCCAACAAAGGCACCCAGCCATATCGTAAATTTTTCGATTGCGCTGCAAAAGGATTTACTACATCTTATAATATTCATTTAAAGTAATTCTCTTCAGTATTTAACACCTACTCGTCTTGCCCGTTTCAATACTACCGAATCCACTGATCGTGCAATTCAGTCCAGGCGGATATTCGGCATTCTCAGCTGGCAAGCAAATTGGCATGATATCTTTGCCAAGCGGGATGCCGAGACCTTTAAGTAAAACCAAAGCGATATCATTGTTCATTCTATGGCCTTTACGAAACTCTTCGTGTACGTAATAATCTTCGATGTTGGCTTCTATTTCCGTTCCTTCGTTTATCTGAGGATATCAAATATGATTTGATTTAAAGTGTAAAGTGTCACATATTTA